GGCAACAGCAAGTTGCAAAACCAATTTGCTAAACTTGGTTTTCTGATGGATTTTGCAAATTGAAGATATCAATGTTTTGATTGGTTAGAGTTACGGTGACTTCTCCTATTTTAAGCGTTCAACTTCATTTCAAGTACACCAAAAACGAGAGAGAAGCAGAAAGCTGAGAGTAATCCACAGATTGTAGTCTGTGAGATAAATAGTGAGTGTGAGTAATATTGTAGTGAGGTAAATAAAGAGGGTTATTTCTCTTGAAGTTGTAGTAGTCTCTTCACACTACTAAGTGGTAATATTGCTCCACTCAGGTATTGTATTTTACCCCGTTAAAAGATTTGGTGTCGTTGTTACTCTCTTGTGTTATTGTTATTTATCGAGGATATTATTCTTGGGCGGAAATATTATTATTTTCCAACAACGTGGTATCAGAGCCATGGCGAATAATAGTCCGTTGTCTTTTCAGTATCCCCGTCTCACAAAAGATAATTATGAGAAATGGTGTCTACGTATGAAAGCCATTCTTGGCTCTCAGGATGTGTGGGAAATCGTAGATAGAGGGTATGCAAAACCCAATAATGAGGAAGCTCTGCCTCAAAATTAAAAAAGATGTCTTGGCAAAGACAAGGAAGAAGGATCAACAAGCCCCCACGCTCATCCACCAATGTTTGGATGATGCCATGTTTGAGAAGGTGGCAGATGCTACCACCTCAAAGGAAGCTTGGGAGATTTTACAAAATTCTCTTCAAGGAGTAGACAAGGTGAGGAAGGTAAAACTTCAAACTCTAAGGGCTGATTTTGAAGTTTTAAAAATGAAAGAATCCGAATGCATTTCGGATTATTGTTCAAAAGTGAAGACCGTTGTGAATCAATTAAGAAGATACGGGGAGGACATAGAAGATGTCCGTGTGGTAGAAAAGATCCTTCGCACCTTTACACCTAAATTTGATTTTGTGGTGTGTGCTATTGAGGAGTCTAAAGATTTAGACTCTATGATGGTGGAGCAATTGGAGGGTTCTTTACAGGCTCATGAAGAAAAGATCAAGATGAGACAAGAAGTGCCACTAGAGCAACTTCTTAAAACTCAGGCATCCTTAAAGGATTATGGAGGTGAAAAAAGCTATCGAGGAAATGGACGAGGACGAGGCCGTGGCGGTCATGGAAGAGGAGAACTAATAGTAACAACTTCAACAATGAAGTTAAAATCCACCAAACATTCAGAGGTCGTGGTCGTGAACAAAGGGAGGAAGAAGACGTGGCTACTACCAAGAAAATAATGGACAAAGGTATGACAAATAAAAAATTGAGTATTATAATTGTCATAAATTTGGCCATTACTCTTGGGAATGTCGTAGCAATGTTGAAGAAAAAGCTAACTTTGTTAACGACAAGAAAGAAGAAGATGAGCCAACATTATTACTAGCACTCAAGGAAGAAGACAGGGATGATTGCAGCTCGTGGTATTTGGACAATGGAGCAAGCAATCATATGTGTGGATGCAGAGAAAAGTTTGTGGAGATCAATATACGGTGAGAGGTAATGTTTCCTTTGGAGATACCTCAAAGATTCAAATCGAAGGGATAGGTACAATTCTGATCTCCTGTAAAGATGGTAGTCACAAGCTAATTCAAGATGTTTATTATGTGCCAAAATTAAAAAATAATATTTTGAGCTTGGGCCAACTTCTTGAAAAGGAATATGACATCCACATGAAAAATATGCATCTTTGGCTTAGAGATTCAAGTGGAATTCTAATTGCTAAAGTGCATATGGCAAAGAATAGATTATTTTCTCTGAATCTTAAAATAATTGATGCAAAGTGTTTGAAGGCTAATGTGCAAGATGAATCGTGGTATTGGCACATGCGATTTGGGCACTTGAATTTTGAAGCGCTCAAATCAATGGGAGAAAAGAACATGGTACATGGGATACAACATCAATCAACCATCCCAATCAATTGTGTGAAGCTTGTCTTCTTGGAAAACATGCAAGGAGGAGTTTTCCAAAGGAGGCAATGTCAAGATCAACCAAGTCGCTCCAGCTTGTTCACACAGATTTGTGTGGACCAATCAATCCACCTTCTTTTGGTAAAAGTAGATACTTTTTGCTTTTCATTGATGACTTTAGTAGAAAGACTTGGGTTTATTTCTTGAACCAAAAATCTGAAGGTTTTGCTGCTTTTAAAAATTTCAAAGTACTTATGGAGAAAGAAAGTGGCTATGAAATTAAAGCTCTAAGGTCCGATAGAGGAGGTGAATTTACTTCAAACGAATTTAATAACTTTTGTCAGTCTCATGGAATTCGTCGCTCTCTAACGGTACCTTATTCACCCCAACAAAATGGAGTTGCAGAGAGAAAGAATCGAACGATTCTTAATATGGCTCGATGTATGTTGAAAACTAAAAGAATGCCCAAGGAATTTTTGGCCGAAGCTGTTTCTTGTGCAGTTTATTTGAACAACAGGTCTCCAACAAGAAAGTTAGAGATCAAACCCTTCAAGAAGCATGGAGTGGAAGAAAGCCAAGTGTCAAACATTTGAGAATCTTTGGGAGCATAGCCTATGCTCATGTGCCACATCAAGGGAGAGCAAAGCTTGACGATTGAAGTATCAAGCATGTGTTTGTTGGCTATGATACAAATTCAAAAGGCTACAAGTTATACAACCCAAGCAGCGGTAAGGTGGTGGTAAGTCGCGATGTTGAATTTGATGTAGAATTGGCATGGGATTGGGAAGCTCAGGAAGAAACTTCATATGATTTTCTTCCATATTTTGGTGATGAAGAAGAACCAGAGACCGTGGAACCTGTGCAGGATACAACTCCACCTCTTTCTCCAACCAATGTTGCATCTCCCTCTTCTCAAGAAAGTTCAAATGAACAGCCGCAAAGGACAAGGAGTATTCAAGAGCTCTATGAGGACACAGAAGAAGTTACTAATTTTGATTTTTTATGTTGTCTCTTTACTGACAATGAACCAATGAACTTTGATGAAGCTGTTACAAACAAAAAGTGGAGACAAGCCATAGGGAGGAGATTGAGTCAATAGAGAAGAACAACGCTTGGGAGTTAACAACTCTTCCCAAGGGTCATCGAGCAATTGGAGTGAAATAGGTATACAAAATAAAGAAGAATGCTGATGGAGATGTGGAGAAATACAAGGCACGACTTGTGGCTAAACGCTACAAGAAAAGACAAGGCATTGACTATGAAGAAGTCTATGCACCTGTTGCCCGCATGGAGACAATTCGTTTGCTGATCTCTTTGGCGGCGCAAATAAAGTGGAAGATCCATCAACTAGATGTCAAGTCAGCCTTCTTGAATGGCTATCTTGAAGAAGAAGTCTATGTTGAACAACCATTGGGCTTCGTGGTCAAAAACTATGAAGATAATGTGTTGCGATTGAGGAAAGCTTTATATGGATTAAAGCAAGCTCCACGAGCATGGAATAGTTCCATCGACAAATATTTACAAGACAATGGGTTTACTCGTTGTGTCCTTGAATATGCTCTTTACGTTAAAGTTCATACTAAATGGAGATATCTTACTTGTTTGTCTTTATGTTGATGACCTTATTTTCACGGGCAATAACTCAAGTTTGTTTGAAGCTTTTAAGAAAGATATGTCCCGTGAGTTTAAGATGACAGACGTAGGGCTCATGTCATACTACCTGGGCCTAGAAGTAAAGCAGATGGAGGATGAAATTTTTATCTCTCAAGAAAGCTATACAAAAGAGATATTGAAGAAGTTCAACATGCTCGATTGCAACCCCGTGAACACACCGATGGAGAGTGGGACAAAATTGTCCAAGTTTGATGAAGGAGAAAAGGTGGATCCCACATTTTTCAAAAGTCTCGTGGGAAGTTTGAGGTACTTGACTTGTACCAGGCCAGATATACTCTTTGCAGTTGGAGTAGTAAGTCGTTTCATGAAAGCTCCTACCTCCACTCATTTGAAAGTCGCCAGAAGAATTCTTCGCTACCAAAAGGTACGACTGACTTTGGGTTATTTTGTTCCTCTTCTAGTGATTTCAACCTTATGGGATATTGTGATAGGGATTATGCGGGAGATATTGATGATAGAAAAAGCACAGCTGGTTTTGTGTTTTTCTTGGGTAATACTGTTATTTCTTGGAGTTCAAAGAAACAATCAATTGTTACTCTTTCGACTTGTGAAGCTGAATATATAGCAGCTCATCTTGTACGTGTCATGCTATTTGGTTAAGAAGATTATTGAAGGAGCTCAATTTGCCACAAATTGAAGCTACAGAGATTTGTATTGACAATAAATCCGCACAAGCACTCGCGAAGAATCCAGTGTATCATGATCGAAGCAAGCATATAGATACAAGGCTTTATCAGAGAATCCGTTGCCAAGAAGGAAGTCAAGCTGAAATATGTAAAGTATCATGATCAAGCTGCGGATATCTTTACAAAGCCTCTCAAGTTTGATGACTTCCAGAGACTGAGATCAAGACTTGCAATGAAAAAGAAAAATCAAAATTAAGGGAGAGATTTGTGGGTCCCTAAATAAAGAAATAAAAAAAAGAAGAAGAAAATATGATTGGATGAATTGAGAAGCAATTGTGGGCAGCAACAGCAAGTTGCAAAACCAATTTGCTAAAGTTGGTTTTCTGATGGATTTTGCAAATTGAAGATATCAATGTTTTGATTGGTTAGGGCTGCGGTGACTTCTCCTATAAATAGAAGCGTTCAGCTTCATTTCAAGTACACCAAAAACGAGAGAGAAGCAGAAAGCTGAGAGTAATCCATAGATTGTAGTCTGTGAGATAAATAGTGAGTGTGAGTAATATTTTAGTGAGGTATCTAAAATAAAGAGTGTTATTTCTCTTGAAGTTGTAGTAGTCTCTTCACACTACTAAGTGGTAACATTGCTCCACTCAGGTATTGTATTTTACCCCGTTAAAAGATTTGGTGTCGTTGTTACTCTCTTGTGTTATTGTTATTTATCGAGGATATTATTCTTGGGCGGGAATATTATTTTCCCAACAAAGAAGCCACTACAATCTGATAACAAGCATTCTGATGAGGAAGACTCGTCGATTGCCTCTAGGTATGATCTTTCTCCATAATCTAACTTGATGAAGTTTTTCACTTTTTCTGAGTTGTATCCTTATTTGGGGTTCTGCTTTGCCATTTGATGATTTCCTCAACAATGAGAAGTTCTGTGGTCTCAGCAAGAAAATCCAGGGCAACTGTTGCGTCGGCTCCAACATTTCGGTCCTCTGAACGTGCAGCGAGAAGGAAGGAGGTAGCTGTTGATTTGTGCTTCTGCTTAGGACTGTTGAATTTGCTGATATGGTTCTAATATTTGATGGGTTTTCACCTCATTGTCCCCCTCGACTTGTCCCCTCTAAATGACATGAAAACAAAATAACAACAGAAAAGGAAATACCGGTTCTCCTTAAAGTGAAAAATCTGAATCTTGGCTGATTTGCTTGCTTTTTGTTTTTCCTCTTATTTCAGTTTTACTCAAAGTTAGAGGAGAAACATCTAGCTTTGGAGGCTGAGAAAATTCAATGCGAGGAAAGGACAAAGGTACATGTTGTTTCTGCTTTACGTTGCTGTCACCTGATCCTGGCTGTAATAGTGGAATATAGATCAATGAACACCATCCGACAGAAACTGAATAAATGAATACGTTATCATTTATATTTAACAATATACTACTTCGTTCTACCTTCTAAACTCAGGAAGAGCTATGAAGCAACTGAGAAGGAATTTGTTGTTTAAGGCAAACCCAATGCCAAGCTTCTACCAGGAGGGACCTCCACTTAAAGCTGAATTGAAAAAAGTAATGCATTCTCATCGCCAATAACTTACAGAAACATCAACCTCTAGTTGAGGTTAGCCATAAAATAGGTCTGCCGTGTGACTGTGAAATATTTTTTCTTGTGGCCTTCTGGCATGTTAAAGTTCACAGTGGGTTGCTGATTTCTTGACACATCCCCTGCTGTTTATCAACTTAACCACCATAATTCTATATTCTATTTTTTTTTTTTTTTTGGGTACTGCAGCCACCACCAACGCGTGCAAAATCACCGAAGTTTGGCAGAAGGAAAAGTTGTAGTGACACACTTGGCTTGGATAAAGGTGTTGGAGCTTATGACCAAGGAAGTAAAAACGCAAATACCACCTTTGCTTCTAGAAATAGTAAAGACTGTCCTAATATCCAAAGAGGTTCTGTTACTTACAACTTGAATGAGTCCAATCATGGAGGGGAGACAATTGAGCCATATATGGCTAAGATGCAAGAAGAAATGAATATGGATAATATCCTATATTCTTGAGCCTTTGGTGAGTTTTTTAATTTAATAAAGCGAGAGCCATTATTTTCTTATGTTTCGCATCTTTTGACAGCTCTTGGTTTGAATGGGTTGATTATTAATCTGATTGGGGAATCATGTCTTTTAGCCTAGAGAATATTATATGGGGTCGTCATTGTAAAGTCCGAGGAAGTATTACTGAAATCTACAAGCTATGTCCATAGAATAGGAGGAAGATTGAGGACTGAACAATCAACCAATCTGCTTTTTCTGCACCACTAGGTTTAATACAATGTTTCGAAAATTATTGACTAAAGCCAGTTTTATTACGCTCTATTGCATTAAAGGGTTTACTGTGTTTTATAAAGTTTTGAGTAGAACATATATATGCATCTTTGTAGGTATAGGTCTTCTTCTCCATCTTTCTGATATATATGTATCCCAGCTTTTGAGATTAAAAACAGCCAATAAAATCTTCTTTCTCTGTAGGTAAAGAATTGCACTTTATGGCTTCTCTTATTATGTTGGAAACATGGGCATAGTTTGATGCCTGAGGTGGAATTCCAGTCCCCAAATCTAAAGCTGAAGAAACTATCTGAAAGAAGATGAATTAAGTCATTAACAACAGCATTCTTTAGGAATGCAGATATAAACTTGAGAAAGACTTGTTTTTGATCAATTGGATAGCAAAAAGTAGCTCTAAAGGAACTGAGAAATCCGGCCGAGTGTAAGAAGCAGTAAGCATGGTTTAGTCATGGTGGATGGTTGGTTCGAATTCTTCAAGTAAGGCATTAATAGAAAGATACTTTTGCCCATAGTAAAAGCTAACATGATTTTTGATACCATATTAGACAGATGATAATCCTTCTTCATGAAATGCTTCCAAGTATATCCCTATGCCTCTTATGCTTCTAAATCTCAGAAATTACTCTATCATCTTCAAATAGTCTAATAAACTAACACGACATGCTCCTCTGATGATATTATTAACATAAAAATGTTGTCTTACGTACTATTTCACTGTCGTTTCTCAGCTCTTTCTACTTGTTTATTTTAGTTGTTAAAAATATGTATGCCAATGATTTTTGCTATTCTGTATGAAATAGAATAAGAGAATGAGGATAACTCAAAGACCAAAATCATGTGAAGTACTTCCTTGCTCCTTGATGGTTTTGTAGAATTTCTTCAATGTTTTTTTTTTATAAACTATTTCACTTTCATTTAATATGCCAAGTTTTACTCTACTTTTCTTTTCAATATGTTACATTGTTTGCCTACAGGTGATTAGCATAAACTATTCCACTTTCATTTAATATGCCAAGTTTTACTCTACCAGGTGATTAACATTTTTTGCTATTACAGTCTTATGCTCAATTAAATAAGATAGACCACGTAACTGTAAGTAGAGAGACTTAATACTTTATCTTATTATTAAGTAGAAACTATGAGTTATTTATTTCATCTTTTTCTTAAAATAGTTGTTGACGTTGTTTCTTCTTAATTTGATGGTTTCTCATGTATAGACTCGCATTTTACTTCAAGGAAAAAGCAATGCAGTTGCAGAGATGGGATACAATGAAGGGTCAACAGAGCAATTCATATCCCAAAAGCCTATCAGTATGCCACAAAAATAGCTACTGCGTGGTGTAGTGTTCTTTTTGGCTCAGCTAGGATTGATAAATTTTGCTACACCAGAATTTAAACATTTTCCATCAAGATATATATAGATATGAGCTTATCTATTAAATTAAAGTTTCAACTATTACTTTAATGTTTCTTCATACTGGGCTTAGTAAAATCAGAGTATGATGTCATTGGTTTACAATTCCTTCATTATTTTAAAAGTATAAGATGCGGTACAATCCTCACATTATTAATGTCTAAATCAAATAAGGGAATTCAAAATATAAAGAAATAAGCACACAAAAAGTCAAGAGAAATTGATATATATTATATATACATGAAAAGAAGAAAAAAAAGAACCAATCTATACAATATAATTTTCCAACGAATAAGTATCAATTGATATCCTATGGACAAAGGTAATTTCGTCACTGCTAGTAAAAACACTTGAGCAAAAATAGTGAAGGAGCATAGATTCAGAATAATACGCATTCTGTAAGATCGCTTCAAATTTTCTCCTAGACAACTCTTTACTAAAATTGATGCTTAAAATATTTGCCGAAACCAAAATTTTGAGACTAAATTAAAACCAGTTCCGCATATCTCACTCGGACTGAAATCCATGTGCAATATGATGAACAACAAGTACAAAGTCCAGGTGGGTTAAATTATCACCTACTTTCGTGCGTTCCAAGATCCTTGGACCTTAGCTGATTCCTCTTCTAGATTTTTGTTTTAGTGTCGAAATAGGAGTCCGGAACCAAAATGTGGTTCTTCTGGACTCAAAGAACAAAAATATCTAGAAAAAAAATATAGTGACCAAAATATGTTTATAGCGTTTTCTTGAAAGACACTATACTTTAACGGCCGTTTGGCCAGTTAACTATAGCATCTTTCAAAATGACGCTATATTCGAATTAAAAAAAGCGGAAAAATATAGTGTCTTTTGTTAAGACGTTATACTATAGCGTCTTTTGTTAAGACGTTATACTATAATATCTTAACAAAAGACGCTATATATATATAATATAGATCATCCCCTTCCCTTCGCCCAAAACAGAACGGTTCACCCCCCCCCCCACCCAGCCCCCCACCCTCCATTTTTAAACCCAAAAAGCTTGAGTGGAGCCCACCCATCCCACATAAAGTAAAGATTCTCCGGTCCCACGTGCTAGCTAAGGAGTTAACTCGGACGTTGTTGGTTGTTTCGGCTCAAAATTACAAAATCTTCGACTTTCTAAAAACCTTAAATTGAGGTATTTAGACTTAGTTTTTGATAGAACTTGTATAAAAAATGCATATTGGTGTTCTTATGTGCTCTATTTATTTTGCGATTGTTTTGCGATTTAACTAATTTGTTGTTTTTATCCGGACTATAGTATTAGTGTGCTAAAAAAAATTGTAAAATAGAGAAATTTTTATTAGTTGTTAAGAAAATGTTAATTACTTACTTTTTACTGTGGGATATGTAATTTCGTGATTGTTTTGTGTTTAAAGTGATTTGTTGTTTTTATCCGGTTTAAATTATTAATTTGCTAAAAGACTAGTAAGCTAGATAAATTTTTTACTTTAGTACCCTGTAGTCGTATCTTGTAGCCTAATGTAGTGTTCGTAATTGTATGTAGTGGCCTTTTAGCATAGTAAAACGTAGTGCCCTTGTCACGACCCAGAATTTCCACCGTCGGGATCGTGATGGCGCCTAACTCTTAGAATGCTAGGTAAGCCAACAGATACAATTCCAACACATTAATCATTAACCAAAACAGAAATTTTCAATAATTAAAACTAAAGTAATATGAAGTGCGAAAATTTTATAACAGTTTAAATGCTCTACTACACTACTACCCAAAAGATCTGGTGTCACAATCCACGGACGTCTAAGAATTTCTACGGACACTGGTTTCAAGGAAAATACATCTGTTGTTGCGCTTGTATCACGTTCCACTAAAGCATAATAATATCTGCATAATACAAAAGAAGCAACTTTAGAAAGAGACCCATGGGAGATATAATAAAAGATATAGAAACTATGAAACACAGAATAGAGGAGCATAAGGCAAAAAGGAGAAGAAGAAACAAAATAAATTTCAGAAAATGTTTATCAATAAGTTTTCACCTTTGATCAGCAAAAAGTGCAAAAATCAGCCAAAGATAAATGACTCAGGAAAAAAAACAAAATGATATCGTTACCCGAGCCAACTAATTTTATAAGCACGTAACTTCTCATTATTACTGAGAATTTGTTGGGTTAAGGACAAAACGGCTGTAGAAGAATGCTAGTCCATAATGGCATATTGGTGTATCTAATGGTAACTCGAATCGAGCCAAACAGAACTCAATTCATAGATAAATATTTAAAGTAATAAAGTTGGTATTAAATACTCCCTCCTGTTCACAATAAGTGACCAGCTTACTTTTTCATTTTGGTCCAAAATAAGTGTGAAGTTATGTAATCAAGAAAAAATTCAATTTGTTTTTACTCTTTTACTCTTATATGCATATCCCTAAAAAAAATTCTCACTCCTCACTATAACTATGTGACCAATATTTAATAAGGGTAGTATAGTCATACTAGGTATTTTTGTATAGGATTTAGCATTTTCTTAATGGGCGTGTTAAAAGAAAACTGGTCACTTATTGTGAACCGGAGGGAGTATCAAATAGATAGATATTTTAAATATCATTATGATCGAATAAATACCTTATGTGTGTCTGTGCACACCTAAATCCAACAATTTTTTTTGTCACGACCCTAAAACTGACCCGGTCGTGATAGCGCCCATCGTGAAACTAGGCCAGCCGACACAACTCCCGAATTAACCATTTAATCATTAACAATCATTTTTAAGCCTTTAATTAATCAGGTATCTAATAATGTAAGTCTAAATGAACAGTGCGGAATAAAAACACAAGCCCGACATCGGGTGTCATAAGTCACGAGCATCTACTAAGGTCTGAATACAACAAAGAGTCTAAAAATGTACTAAATACAGTCTAAGGAAGACAAGAGGGAAAAAAGCAGTGCTGCGAACGTCGGGCAGCTACCTTGCTTACTCCAATGACTCTGCCGCTGAGCAATCAACACCCGCTACCGGGTTCAGAACTACCTGAATCTGCACACAAGGTGCACGGAGTAATGTGAGTACGCCAACTCAGTAAGTAATAAAAGTAAATGAAAGCTGAGCAGTAAGAAAACACGTAAACCACGCCATAATGCTACAGCAAATACAGTACATTTCCAAAATACTGCAGAAATCATTTATTTCGTAAATCAAACTCAGCAACCTTTTAAAATATCTTTCAATAGTTTCAAACGAGTGATAAAAACAGTGAGTAAAAAAAAGATAGAAACGTAACAGCCCCTCGGGCAAATCATGTATCATAAACCGCCCCTCAGGCAA